ATTTGAGGCATCTTACCTCCTTATAGCATGCGTTTTATGCATGGTGGTATCCTTGACAGTTAAAGAACTGTGTGGGACTTTGTACTTTTCGTAAATCTTCGATTACGATCTTCATATGCATTAGATTGGTAATGTGTTTTGCTTTAACAACATCCTTCTTTTCTAGAGCTAGTTCTAACATCGGCAGAGGTTTTCTATCCCTTTTCCTGGATATCATGTTAAATATGTATAGTAATTCTATCTAGTATTCGTCGAACATGTTGTCGTAGATATCCTTTGCCTTGGTATTTGAGGGCAGGGCCCATTTAGTTTTAATTGTTATTGATATTTTCTGACTTTTTGTAAGCTTTGTTTATAAAATTTACAATTTTCAGTGACAATAAAGCATATTTCTATTCTATATCCATACAAAATAAACAGATATCTTTAAACGTAGTGTTAAATAGTGTTTGATTCATTTTATCACAGTTTTTATTCTAATATCTGTCTCATGTAACTATCTGTACATGCAAAAAATTATAATTACTATATTTAAATCAGCCAAATTATATTAAAAACTAAGTCTTTCGAAAAAACATGAAGTTGGTTATATTTCCCCATATTTATATATACATAATAGAAATTTACTTTCTTCATACATGTACAACAATCTTACTCATCTAAAATATTAGCTTTTAAAGAACATTTTATAATATGTATTTAAGAAAAACTTACCAACTTATTAGCCTATGGAAGAAATGGAAAATTACTTTGACTATCCATAATGATAAAATTTAAAATAGAACTAACTAATTAACTAAATAGAACTAACAAATAAGTAAACAAAAATAATAAAACAATTAAACTTTAATAAACAACGTGAATAATACAAATATTTACTACAATTGTAACAACTCAAATATTATATTTTAATACACAGGGAACATGTTATTGGTTTAGTATACACTTCCATTTCGAATAATTCTTCTTTTTTCAAAGAAAGAAGTCTGCATTACTAGTATATTTGAGCTATTAATACTGAGAAGTCGGAATTTTTGTGTTGTAAGTTTCCGACTACTAATCTGTTAAAATATGCCCGAGTCGTCAAAAAACATCTAAGAAAATGATTTACCTTAATCCTATATTTTGCAAATATTGAATTAATTCCGTATTACTTTTTTGTGTAATATTCATTATATCAATAACAGAATGCACTTCCATTTTCAGGAATAAAAGCAAAATATAAACTAAACTTGTTTTGACAATTTATAAATTTTATCCAGAGATATTTTATTTCTTTAATTACATAATTTAAAAATGTTTAAAACTGTACGATCAAAATTGGCAACCTCGAACAAGTCGCGAACTCGCTGTCAAAGTGTCAAACTTCGGTGTCGGTGCAAAAAATGATAATACAACAGGTTACAGGTTATATTATGAGAAAAATAATAATTTATTATTTTGGTGAATATCAACCACTACATCATTATCATTCAGTGGTCTAATAAAAGTTATTAAATATTCCGCACTAATATGATATAAATAAAAGGTTAGTAGTAAAATAAAAGTTTGTTTTATAAAAATATATCTCAAATTAGCGTGGCTAATAAACGAACCGGCCGGCACCTATATTACATTTTTTATTTTTGTGTCTATTACTCTATTGATACTGTATAATCTATATTGCTGACCACCTGTTATATTTTTTATGTTGTTTATTGTTTGTATGTAACTGACTGTTGACTAAGTCCTATACATATATTCTTATAGTAATACTTTACTTAATTGAATTTTTTTAGTTGTATACATATTGGCTGACATATTATATCATCTACTATGTCAGCTTTTAGTTTCTTGAGTACCTGATGATGCCGTTGAACTCGTAAACAAGTCGCCCAATATTTCTTTTAATAAATATCTGCAACAACCTAACATGGATTATCAGTATAAGACCCTAGTCTCTAACATTCATGAATATATGCTCATATCAGATCTTTTCATTTTCATAGTTTGTTAAATTTGGTTGACAGTGACAGTAGTTGACATTTTTTTGGCCAGTATTGTCATGTATGTCAAGGCTGGTCACATATTGTGTTTTAGATAAGTTTGGTACAAGAGCTCTGAAGGTCTACTTAGTCAAAAATAAGGACTATGTGATCTGCAATCCTCAAATTGTTCAGAAACTTGCCATTTATGATGAATCTTATATTTTTCCAATTATTATTTCTCATAGAACTCAGCAATAAAGCAGTGAATAGTTTAGAAGCTGTGCCAGTCTTTGTTATATTATTCTTGTGTATACTTTAAATGCTCCTTGTCCTCTGCAACTTTTTTCTGAATTACGAAGTTTCATTTGCATTCCTTGGGTATTGTTCATGTTCTCCATGCATTGCTTATCCATCCAATTTCTGTTTCCAGAGTTTAAAAATTAAAATTTTTCTTCCTATATATATATATATATATATATATATATATATATATATATATACGAAGATTTCCAGAGTTTTCACTGTTCCTTCCTTCCTTCACTCAACCGTTTTTGTCTGCTCTTCTGACATGTCCGTACCAGGTTAACCTCTTCTGTTCAATGTAGTCTATTATGTTGGAGTTCATTCCCATTCTCCTCTTAATCTCCATGTTATTTATTCTATCTCTTCTTGTTACTTTGCAGCTTCTCCTTAGGAATTCCATCTCTGTTGCTCTTATTTTGTTTTTGGTTTTCTTATTTATTGTCCAATTTTCACACCCATAAGTGAGGATACTTCTTGTCATGGTATTATATATTTTTTTCTTTGTTTTCATGCTGATGTTCTTATCCCATAGTACCAGGTTCAATTTTCTTATGCAGTCTCTTGTTTGTCCTAGTCTATTTTTTATATCTTCCTCTGTTGTTCCTTTGTTTGATATTATGAAACCTAAATACTTCCTTTATTTACTTCTATAAAAAATATACTTCCTTTGGTTCAAAAAGTACTGTCACAGAAGTTGTATGTAACCATAAACAGCAAAAAATCTTGAAAAAGTTGAATACTACATTTATGCTGACACTGAACTAACCTAACTTACCTTAAATATCGAAATAAAATATAAATAGGAATACAACTTTGTCAAAGTCATTATGGAAACTAGTATTAAATTTTGAAGTAGGTTATCGGTAACCCCATTAAGCCCTCTATGTTTAAATGATATTTATTATATTTTATTTTTAGAATGATTAGATGTTCTCTATTGTGTTATATTGATGAATATACAATATTTTGTCTAATTGTCTCTAGCCGACTCTTTTTGGTATCTCTCCTCTACCTTTCCTCTACTACTGCTTACAGGAACTTGAGACCCCTGGATTCTTCCAGTTTGACATCAACTTGTATGACAACTAGACTACCATTAATAAATGTTCTTATATTTTGATCTTGTATTGTTAATCCAGTAGTCAAACAATGATCAATGATTGTCATGTAGTCTATGCACTATTCTGATCTTTGACTTTAATATATTTAACTGCAGACCAAATATTTGACTTTCATTTTCAACCAGTCGTATGAAATCAATGAACTCTTCTTTACTATTTGCAAGGACTGTGTTGTCTGCAAAACATATGTTGTCTATTTTTCTCCCATTTATTGAGATACCCTTTTCCCATCCTTCATAGTGTGTTTGTATAGATCAGATATATAATCAAAATTAAGTGTTGTGGTATACCTACTTGTTTTAGTGTTGCTATTTGACCCTGTCAAACGCTTTGCGATAATCTATAAAACAAATGTATAGTGGGATATTGAATTCCCTAGATTTTTCTCTTATTTGTCTTATGTTCAGAACATTTTCTCTAGTACCTCTACCTTTGATAATTTCAGTTTGCTTTTGGGATATTTTTCTTTTTAGGAGGGTTTTGTCTCTCATTGATCATGTATAGCATTATTTTACAGTTATAGCATTTGTAGGAGCTGTGTTTTTTATGTATTGCAATTATTGTAGATTCTATCCAGTTGTAGGACATTGCTGTCTCTTCTGTTTTAAGCATTTATGCTGTTATCATATCTGCACCTGGTGCTTTGTTCTACGTGAGTTTGCTGATCTACAGTTTATTAGGTCATTTTTTGAGTTTTTCAGGTGTTTGGTGTATAAGTTCCTGGTGTTTGTCATCTTTATATAGATTCTGGCAATATAGTCTCTATGTCACTGCTATATCTTCTCTGTTGGTTCTCAGGGTTCCTGTGATCCTCTTGTTATGTAGCATATTTTTCTAAATAGATCCCTTGGCTGATTGTTGTCTTGTCTTCGTTTTATTTCTTTGTTTAGGTCTCTTAAACTAGCTTTTTCCCCATTCACTATGTACACCACTTTTACAAAGATTTCTTCTATTCTTAATTATTTTAAGGGTTTTATCTTTTATCCAGTATTTCTCTTTCACAGGATTATTTAATATTGGATGATTAATTGGTGTTGTTAGACAATGTTTAATAGTCTCCCATATTTCTTGTGATGTACCCTTATCAATAGAGGGCATACTTTTTTGCTCTTCTTAGAGATGGTTATCCTTCTTTCTTAGTTATGTCCTCTTTGTCTCTCTGTTTGTTGGAGACTTTAAGCTTGAGCTTTACTTTATCTACCAAGAGAGTAGAATATGATCCACACATCGCCCCTGGATATGATCTGATTGTTTGGATTGATGATCTCCAGTGAATATTACTGAGGATGTAGTAAATTTTATTTCTAGACCAATCTCCAGGACTTTTTCAAGTCTAATTATACAACTTGTATTTTTAACTAACAGTGAAAATATGATTATAAATCTTTTTACATAGACAATTGACATTACATGTGTTGCTTGACTTTCTTCTTCTTTTCTCTATACCTATAATAATATAATACACAACTACATAGTAATCCTACTGTCACATTTAGAGCAAGCATTTGACATTTTTAATAATCAAATAAAAGAATATAATAAAACACATGTGTTACATATGTTCTCATACTCACTTGGAAAATGACATTAATGAATTATTTATTTTTAGGTGTTACCACCCTTTTGACCATGGCGACCCAAACCTCGGGTATTAATGCCTCCCTGCCACCGGTCTCGTACACAAAAGCCATAGATGTTTGGACAGGAGTTTGTCTGACATTCGTATTTGGAGCACTTTTAGAGTTTGCACTTGTAAATTACGCTTCTCGATCAGACATGCACAGAGAAAATATGAAGAAACAAAGAAGGCAATGTGAACTTGAACATGCTGCTTCCTTGGATGCTACGTCTGATCTTATTGACACAGAGAGCAACGCCACATTTGCAATGGTAAGATGATAGTAGTTTCATTACTGGATGTCTTGTTACTAATACAATGTTACAATATACTTGTGATCTGTGAATTTTCATTGTCTTCAGGCTAAAATATTTTAAGTTTGTTTGCAAATGATTGCTCTACATATCCTCCCGCTGCTGTCAACGATTTTATTCTACTGTACCGTTTGAGATCTAATATATCTGTTCCATTATCTGCAAGAAGTGTTGCAGAAGATCTTTTGAAAATGTGACCTATGTATATATAACTCAGATTACTCAATAATTCTGATATTTTATACTGGATTCTATCGGAATATGATTGGGGCGATATTTCTAAAATATATCTATGAAACTGAATCCTTCTAACTTAGAGCTTATTTCTATGACACTCCTACGATGCTAACCATAGTATTTCAGTGGCCTACAGCAAGGCTACACTTCAGCTGAATTTTCAAAGTATATGATTCTATAGTCTTCTAACTAGAAAGGATCTTAAGAAAAAATAAAGATATAATTATAAGTATGCGACAAACTTGAAGGCATGTAAACAGTAACAGACCATGTGAACTTTATAGCAAAGGTAAGTATTTATCCAGAGAAAATTGGATACATTTACAAAGCACCAGCCAATGTCATCTTCACACACCACCAACCTGCAAGAAATATAGGTAATTACAACAGCTACATTCAGTCATGGAGGTACAGAAAGAGGATGTAAAAGGGAACATACTAGTTAATGGGCAGAGGATGAAAACCCTTACCTGTTTTTAATGCCAAGGATCGTTTTGCATTTAAATCAACAGCCTGGAAATAGGAATACAATCCTGATTTGTATTTTGTTTCTAATGATAACAGCCAACCCCTAGCAGTTTCACAAAAAGTCAGCATAAGCCAGTTATAGTTGAGGCAAGTACACAAATACATTTAATTACTTTCATTCCATGACCAAGATGGAATCTTAAAAGAGGCAATTGGACAAAATACTTCAGAAAACTAGATAAATGCTTAGGATGGATGCCTTTACTAGCAAAAACTACAAAGGATTTTCTGGTGCTGTAATGAGCACTGATAAGACATTCATACCAAGAGGATACTGCAATGAATATATCTCTGGATGGACACGAACAGCCATGAGATGTATCCAACTTTTCTGCAAACCTATGATCAAGATGAAACAGAAGAGATACTCCGCACAGCCTAAATGCAACTAGAGAGGAAATTTGGATGGAAACAACATATTAAGAACCTATATTACCAAACACTAAGCAGAAAAGCTTGGACATTACTATGAGACCTGAGAAGCGCTGACCACACGCGAAGACTCACGTGTGTGCTAAGGCTCACGTGGTTAACATCAAACGAGATCTTAACGCCCTTAAAGCTACAGCAATAGAAATGTAATACCCCAGCCCCTTCACATACCCAGATATTTCAAATGCTCTCAAGGATCTTAATGAACTGTGGCAAGTATAAAAAAGAAGTCTAGTTATTTCAGCCTTTCATCTTTTAACATGTTTCAACAGACTTCAATCTTTTAGTTGTCATCCTAAGATTTATGCAGCATCCTTCGATATGCCCAAGTCTCCCATTAAGTCATTTAGTACAGCTTGTATAAACTGTTGAGGTTGGTCTATATTAGACTTGAATTCGTCTTCATCGGTTTTTTCGTTCAAACTTTTAACTGATGATTGTTGGATGGTGTGAAGAAAAGGTAGAGGAATGGGGATTTGTGGTTCACGAGGTACAGGTCATTTAGCAGACAGTAGCAAAAGTAACAGTCGTACCCATAGTTTTTGGTTTCCTCAATGCAAAAATGTAAAGAGTTACGTGTAGCTTTTGTCCATTTTCTCTATAGCTCGATACGCTAAAAACGCACTTTGTGTGGAGCCCAAGGTTTGTCCTCATCACCAAGCTTTATACCGAAGTAAGCCTGATAATTTCCTTTATGTCATCATCATCATCATCATTAGCCATTTTGCGTCCACTGCTGAACATAGGCCTCCCGTAAATAATTCCATTGCATCCGATCTTGAGCAACTTGAATCCAGTTAGACTGGATGCGCTTTAAATCGTCCGACCACCTTGTTGGAGGACGTCCTCGACTACGATAAGCATCGTGTCTAGGCCTCCACTCTAAAATTTTCTTTGTCCATCTTCCATCTCTGACCCTAGCAACATGTCCTGCCCAGTTCCATTTCAGGGTTGTAATTCTTTCAACTGCGTCCGTCACACCAGTTTTTCTCCTTACTATCTGACTCGAAACTCTGTCCCTGAGTGATACGCCCAACATTGACCTCTCCATCGCTCTCTGTGCCACTTGTATCTTATTAATTACTTTTCTGGTAAGTGTCAATGTTTCTGCTCCATATGTCAGAACTGGAAGTACACACTGATCAAAAACTTTTCTCTTCAAGCACATGGGAATAGCTGATTTAAAGACTTCCCTCAGTTTTCCGTAAGCTGCCCATGCCAGTCCTATTCTCCTTTTTAACTCTGTTGTTTGATTGTCTCTTCCCAATTTAATCTCGTGGCCCAGATACTTATAGGAATACACTTGTTCAATTTGCGTGCCATTAGTGGAAATGTTTTTTGCCAGTACCAGGTTGGTCATGTATTGTGTTTTGGAAAAATTAATTTTAAGGCCAACTCGTGCACAAGAGCTCTGAAGGTCTTGAAGAAGTTGGCATGCATGATCTACCTGATCTGCAATAAGGACTATGTCGTCTGCAAACCTCAAGTTGTTCAAAAATTCCCCATTTATATTTAATCCAATATTTTCCCAATTATTTTTTCTCATAGCACTCTGTAATAGGGCGGTGAATAGTTTAGGAGAGATAGTGTCTCCTTGCCTAATACCTTTCTCCAAGGGAAATGTGTCTGTGTCACCATAGTACATTTTTACAGCAGCTGTTGCGCTATCATATATATTTCGAAGAAGAGTTGTGTACCTATGGTCAATACTGCACTCTGTAAGAGCTCTTAACATGGAGCTATGCTGGACTGAGTCAAATGCTTTCTCAAAGTCTACAAATATTAATATCAATGGCTTGTTGTATTCTATAACTTTCTCTATCAAGGATTTTATTACTTGTAGGTGGTCATTTGTTCCAAAGCCACTCCTAAATCCGGCCTGCTCTAGAGGTTGATGAAAATCTAGCTTAGGTCCCAGTCTGTTAGTAATTATTCTCATAAAGAGTTTATATAAATGAGATAATAAGTTGATAGGTCTGTAGTTGCCAATTTCTGTTACATCTCCTTTTTTATGCAATATTATCATAATGGCATTATTCCATTTTTCTGGCGTATTTCCTTCAAAGAGGCAGGCATTATAAAGGGTTTTTAAAGCCTTTATGACGCATTCGCCTCCTAGTTTTATCATTTCACTTACAATGCCATCTTCTCCAGGTGTTTTGTTGTTCTTCATATCTTTTAATGCTGACTTAATTTCCTCTTCGGTTATATCTGGAAGTTCCTCTGACCCTTGATTTAGTATTGCTGGAATTTCTACTTCGGGAATATGATCATCTCGACTATATAATGTTCTATAGTACTCTTCGATGATTTTTAGTATCTCTTGTTGTTCATGTATGACATGTCCTTGATTATTTTTTAACTTATAAATATTCCTCGTTCCTGTTTTCAACTTTCGTTTTAGAACTTTTAGGCTTTTGTTTTGTTCTACGGTATCAGTTATTTCCTTAGTGTTAAAGTTCTTTATATCTTTCCTAATGGCTTTTGAAATGGTTTTGTTTAAATTCCTTAGCTCTGCAATGTTCGTTGTATGCTTTTCTTTCATTTCCCTTCTTTTTTGCATTAGGTTTCTTGTGTCTCTTGAGTGCTTGGCTTGGCACTTCTTCTGTGACTTCTTCAGGGCTTCTACAAATTTTTCGTTAAGCTGTTCAATACTGGTTTCATCTTGCAGGTCTTTCTGTAGATTACTCTCTATTTCTTCCTGGTATGCCTGGTGTTAGTAATCGCAGTGAATGTAACATTATTAGTCCTTGTTACCATATGTCTTCTTTCTTTCTGTACCTATATGTACCTATCGTAAAATCGCCACACACGTAACAAAATAGATCAGGACTGTTTTTACACTTTCTTGATGACATTATGACGCACTAAACTCTCAGAAAACAACACAACTCAATGCTACACACAATTTTGATGCAATTTACGAAATATTAATAAGGTAGTTCTTTGATCTAGTACAAAATATCTCACAAGGTTTTTTTAATTGATGAAAAATCTTCTATTTTTCGTTTGTACCTATATGGTCTCCAGTGTATAATCATCTTATTCCATCTGTCGTCTATCTGTCTTATGGTATGTCCAGCGAACTTCCACTTAAATTTTGCTATCTGCGTTGATACATCGGTCATTTTTGTTTTGTTCCGGACCCAAGTATTTTTTTCTTGTCTGATAACCTGATGTTCAGAATTTGCCTTTCCATGGCTCTTTGGGTCTTTGCTATTTTTTCTATGTTTTCCTTTGTAAACGTCCAAGTTTGAGAACCGTAGGTGAGAATAGGAGGTATACATTGGTTTAAGACTCTTGTTTTTAAATATTGGGGGTATTTTCTATTTTTTAGTATATAGGACAGTTTTCCGAAGGATACCCAAGCCAACCGTATCCTTCTCTTTATTTCTCCGGTCTGATTTGACACATAGTCTCCGGTCTGAGATAACACTAGTTAAATTAAATAAAGAAAATCAGACCGGTGAAAAATCTTAAAGTGGTGAAATATTAAAAATCAACATACCCATATTATTAATTACTCATATCAGCAATATTTTTTACTTATCTTTTGATGACTTTTTTTTAATAGTATAATTATCTTTTCAGAAACCCTTAGTGCGACATCCTGCAGATCCTATGAGTTTAGAGAAAGTCCGCCAGTGTGAAATCCACATGCAGCCCACACGCCCCAATTGTTGTAGATCGTGGTTGTCCAAATTCCCCACCAGGTCAAAACGCATCGACGTAATCTCGAGAATAACCTTTCCCTTAGTGTTCGCATTGTTCAATGTTATATATTGGTCAACATACCTGTTCAGAGAAGAAGCCGAAGAATCCTAAACTTCACTAAAACATTAATTATTGTGATTTTTCATAAGTGTAAATATATCAGTTACAAACAAATTGTACATTATTATAAATTTGTAAAAAGAAATATGTAGTTGTAGTAGTCCTTGAGTTTCTTATTAGCATTAAGCATCCTGAGGATCTCAAAGTATTTCTTCATAGCATTTTCATACTAACGACTATATTTAATGAGAATAAACCATAAGTTTAATTAAAAATGTTTTATATTATTTGGTCAACACGTAAAACATTAAGTATTTTTAATTAAAATTGTAGGTTATTCCCATTAAACATACTAGTTTATCATGGGGGATGATTCCATAGCCATTAATGATGAGGTTGAATTTGTGTAAACGATAAGTTAAATAAAGTCTGTTCGGTGAATTTACACGAGTTTCGGATTAAGTATATAAGGAACGATTCAACTGACCATCTGTAAGAATTCTCCAGTGTTACATGCTCTTACTCTTTATGACTTGAAAGCATGGATACTAGAAAGTTGCCACGTTTGAATTTTGGTGTTACAGAAGAATGCTACGAATATCATGGATTAAAAGAGTTTCAAACGTGGTTATTACTAGAAGAATAGGAAATGAAGCGGAAATAATATTAACTATCAAAAGACAAAACTTGAGTACTTTGAACCTCTAATAAGAGGCAAAAATTATTAAAACTTAGTATGCAAGACAAAATTCGAGGCGAAACGAAATGTGGAAGGACGAAGAATATCTTGGCTAAATAACGTAAATGAATGGTTTGAACGCAGTATTTAGAGCAGCGATCAATAGAGACCGCATAGCCACCATAATTTCCAACCTTCGATAAAAGATGGAACTTGAAGAAGAAGCATCAGCTACCACAACACATTTTGCCACTTTAACATATGGACAAAAAAAATATGTCCAATTTTTTTTCTCAATTTTCAAATGAAAACCATAAATTACTTTTTGTGTAATTAAAAATTAAAAGCCTGCAATTTAACAAAAAAAAAAACAAAAACGGTGACACGTTGGTCTCAAGCTGCTTCTGAGTTTCAATTTTTTGCTTTCGGCCCATATGAGACCAATGTGTCACCACACCATGCTTATATAATATATTCACAGATTTTGACTCACAAAGGTTTACGTCACGGCGAACGTTGTTGACAATATCAGATCGGTTGAAGTGTTGTGGAACTTTTAGTGAGTCTTCTTCTTCTTCTCGTGCCACTCCTAGCGGAGATTGGAAATCATCATGGCCACTGCGACTTTGTTAGCAGCGCGCCTGAAAAGTTCAATCGAACTACACCCGAACCATTCACGTAGATTACGAAGCCACGATATTTTTCTTCTTCCCACACTTCTTTTGCCCTGCATGATGTTTCTTAAAAGTTCGTACTTTTCACCTCTCACAATGTGCCCCAAGTATTCCATCTTTCTAGTTTTTATCTCATTTAGAATTTCGTATCTTTTGTCTAAAGTTTGGAGTACTTGCGTGTTAGTGACGCGGTCCATCCATGATATTCTGAGAATGCGCCTATAGCATCACATCTCGAAAGCTTCGATGTTTTTTATGGTCAACTGTTTTAGAGTCCAAGCCTCAACTCCATATAACAGGGTAGAAAAGACATAACACCGCAGCATTCGTATTCGTAACTTTATATTGATATCACGATTGCAAAAGAGTTTGCGCATCTATTAAAGACTGATCTAGCGATTTCTATTCTACATCTAATCTCTTTTGTTTGATCAATATCGTCTGTGATCCAAGCACCTAGATATTTATAACAGGGCACACGCTCAATCGTTGTATTGTCTATTACAAGATTAGCTCTGATGTTCTTTGATTTCGTGATTACCATAAATTTAGTTTTTTTCAAATTAATTTTCAAGCCGTAACTGTTACAGTATATATTGAGACTTTGAACGAGATGTTGTAGTTCTACTAGCGTTCCCGTTAGGAGAACTGTATCGTCAGCATACCTTATATTCTTGATCGTCTCACCATTTATTATCAGACCAAGATCTTCTTCCTCGAGTGCTTGTTCACAGATAGCTTCACTATACAGATTAAATAAAAGTGGCGATAAGATACATCCCTGCCGGACTCCTCGACGGATTTGAATTTCTTCTGTTAGTCTGCCCTCAACCTTGACATTTGCTGTTTGATTCCAATATAGATTGCATATAATTCGAATATCTCGGCTGTCTATATTTTTCTTTATTAGAACTTATCTTAGTGGTTCATGTTGTACTTTGTCAAAGGCCTTTTCGAAATCAATAAAGCAGGCGTAAATTTCTTGGTTCATGTCTAAGCATCTCTGTGAGAGAACGTTCATTGCAAACAGAGCCTCCCTTGTACCCAGATGTCTTAGTGAGTAAAGATGTCTATTTAGAGAAAAAACAGCAACGTTTAGAAAATTGCAAGAATGTTTTTCAGACGAAGAGGATGTGAACGATTTTGAACCGACGGAATATCAGATGAATTTGAACCCGAATCATTATCAATGAAACCGAAGTCATTAAGCTTCATAACAAAAGACAAATAATATGTATAGAGTTCTTCTCAGAGCCTTCTTTCAGTGCGTCATTAATTATGACGTCATAATGTATTAGATGTTCCGAGAATTATTTCATGTCATTATTGACAAATCTCACAAATGCCAGGATCGTACTTAGCTACAGTTGAAAAGCTTATGGTATTAAACTAGTAATTTTATTGCAAGGTGGATAAGATAGTAAACAATATTGTTTATTAAATTTATAAATATATAAACATTTAAAAATGACAACGAAATCATCCATTTATTGTTTTTTTAATAATAGTATATAATGCAACCATATTTAGTTCGTTAGTATAACGTCAGGTGAAAAGTAAAACTCACTAAGTACCATATTAAAAGAACAGAGATATAACATATTCTAATGTAAAAAATTCATTTTTGAATCAATGTTAGAACAGAAGGTAATTATTTTGAGAAACCGTTTAAGGCTGTTTTAGCAGTCAAAGCACACTGCGATTTGAAATGGGCGTATCACTTACTTTTATACACTTCTGACGCCAGCCGACTGGTACATCTGTTTACTCAGTGGCGCCGGCCGACGGGTAGTTTAATTACAACAAATGCATTATTCCGCATTCAAATTAGTGTTGTCGCGAATACATTTTTTGATTGATTTTAAAAAGAATTATCACATTTTTAATTTATATGTCTTAGCTAAATATAGTATTGAATAAAAATTTGTGAAACGTGACTGAAAAAATATCATGGTGTTTATTTATAATAAATTTAAAATAACATAAAAATAGTATTTAAAAAAAAATACAATTTGTTGTCACAAACAAATAAACAATTTCGCAGTTATAGCTTGAAAATTATTTTAAGTCAACTAACTGACCGTACGTTCATGGGATTTGACGTCACGAAGGCGATAACGATAAAATTAAGTGCCAATGATGAGTAACACGTTTCACGATTAGATTTCAGTATTTTTTAGCAATTTTCTTCAAAGTTTGAACACGCTTTTCTCGATTATTCCTGGACACAAAAAGGTAACAAAATCAACGATTACAGAAAAAAAATCTCTTTCAAGTGATGGGAGTAAAAAGTTTGGTTATAATAGAACGTTAAACTGCATAATCCGATATTTCAAAAGAACTTTCAAAAAAATTAAAAAAGTAAAACCATCAGTTTAAAGGCAACATAATTTTGAATAAGGTGTCCATATTTCGAGACATTTTGTCGGTAAATAACAGAGAAAAAACTGTCTCTAGGTTTTGGTGTATCGATAAAACAGCCTTAAGCTACCTTATCTTCCTCTACCCTCTATTTCCCCTACCTCTATAAAGTTTCTATTAAAATATTGGGTATTTTTGAAGTTTTTGAGAAAAATGTAATTAATGACGGTACTTATTTGAGAAACAGTTTAAACTATCTTCTATTACAGAGTTTATGTTAAAAAATTGTGTATTTTTCAAGTTTTCGAGAAAAATGCAGTTAGTGAATTTTACCTGCCAAGATATTGTCTAAAAATGCATACTATAACAGAAGGTACCTATACTCAATAAAGCAAGGACGGAATGTAAATTTAGTGTCATAACAGAATGTAATTATTTTAAGAAACAGTTTAAGCTACCTTCTCTTTAAGTTTTTATTAAAAAATTTTATATTTTTTAAGTTTTAGAGAAAAATGTAATTAGTGAATTTTACCTGCCGAAATATTGTCTAAAAACTCGTGCTGGAACAGAAGGTACACTCAACAAAGGAAGGAAGAAATGTTAACTCAATGTTATAATAGAAGGTACTTATTTGCGCAACCAAGCCTCTCAAAATAAGGAGCGTCTTGATTTTTAGCGTGTGCAATTATCATCGCGCGGGGAAGAATGAGTGTATATGAGCAACAAGTCTCTGCATGTTTCATTTTCAATCAGTGCTGTACGACTGTTCGTTGGATGTTGCATATTATTAAGCATTTTATAATTTTATGAGAAAACAAACACTTAATTAAAAACCATGAGTGATATAAGGTGCATGTCGAGAGAGTTTATTACGGAATTCAGAGATGTTTACAGAAGTTATCCCTGTTTATGGCAGATTAAAAATAAAGCATACAGTGATCGAATAGGAAAGAATATAGCCTGTAAATTGAGAAGATTCCCTACTAACACAAGGATGTTTGCAGAAAAGTTGTTTAATGATATACTTTACAATGAAGAACTAGGAAGGCTCAATGAAAATTCTGTTCTTTCGGTAAATATGCCACTTCTGTCTGTACCGATTCTAGTTTCAGTTTTTGTGTTTTCAGTTCTTTGTCTTTATTGAAAATCTCAATAAAAACGAATTTTATATAGGTAAGATTATTTTTTCTAATGAAAACAAAATGTACAGTTGCGGTCACGGAATAGTTTACACCTTACTTTTTATATTGTAATACTGTAAAATTGCAGTGTCGTACGGATTTGATAAATGTCTAAGTCAAAAAATTTCAAAACGTCACTGCTTTCTCGAGTGTTCAACAATAAAATAAAAGTATATTAAACTCTTCCAAAATGGTTAGAATACATTTGAATTATGCGC